ATTGTTTCTCCAAGCCATTCTTAGACTTTCTCTGTCCTACCTTCAACAACCTGTTTGCTCTCTGAACTGGCTTATATTGGTTGTGTCACATGATTTGAAACAAGTGAAATCAATTTTGAGTGGTTGTGTTTAATCAATGTGTTCTCTATTGCATTTGATTGTTGCCACTTGTGTTTACCAGTATGGATGACATGTGCATTAGAGTGCAGAATGAGAATGTTTAGAGTTCTGCTGAAAAGTCTAAGTGAGATCTGCAAATTGTGTTTTACCATGTGAAATGGTTTAAGGTATTGACAACAGACTGCAAAATTAGCTAAATGAGTTCAGGCAACTGCAAACTTTGTTCAGCCAATGGGTTTTAGTGTTTTAGCAATTGAGGAAAAACTGTAATATGGCTCATCCACAACATTTTTCTGACCAAAAGCTTTGCTTGTTGCTAAAGTAAGTCAGCTGCCAAACAGGTATCAGAACAGGGATCAGCTGCCTCTATAGACATCATGGCAGAATGAAGGAAAGGCAAGTCATTAACCTGATGAGAAAGGCTCTCACAGATGAGCTGGATGGCTTGAAAAATTGGAGAGTGATATTAGCACATTTGAGAAATCAGCAGATGAATTTGCTGAGAAAGCAGAACTTACTAGCAAACTGACCTTCATCACCAAATCCAACAGTTTCAGAACTGCAAAAGAGAAGAAGGCATCTCTGCTAGAAACACTAAAAAGCTGATGGCAAATGAGTGTTCAGTTAAGATCTCATGGACAGTCAGACACAAGAGGAAGCCACTTATTTATTTGATTGCAACCTTGTCAGGTTCCCACCAGCTATTTTCTCACACTAGCTGTGTGTGTGCACATGTGAGAATGTGTGAGTGAGTTGGACAGTCACACAAAAAGAAAGTACTTGTTATGCAAATGTTGTTGTTGTTGTTTATTTATCTACACTAATAAACGTGTTGAAAATTTAACTTGTTTATGTTGGTTTACATTCAATGAGTTAGTGGCCAACTGTCAATGTTTAGGAAAAATTTGCACTACAAAATGGAAAGCAGTGTGTGCACGAGCTAGACGCTGCTGCCTACTAAAGGTCCTACTGATATGTATGGTATACCTATCAACCAAAGTACATTTATATAATATTTACTCTTTTAATCAAAGTATATTGTCTCTGTCATTCATTCATGTTATTCAGGGTATACTGTGTGCTTCGAATTCTTAATGCCACATCGTATCCTCACTTTTACATGTATACACTGCACAGAGACATCACAGAATGTTTGATAATGAAAATTTGGTTGAAAGTCATGGAAAAATCATGAATATTCATTGGTCAAAATGTGTATGATCTATGTCAGCAACAAATCTGCAATGAGTACTTAGCAATCTAAAGAATCTTACCTCTGAACAATCAGCTTTGGTCCTAATCTGCACTAAATTGTGAGTATAAAACACCATCTAATCATTAACATAAATAGCCAAGACGTGAAAGTTCCCTTCCTTCTACCCTTCTGCAGAGCTACTTTAGCTGCTGTTTCCTCAGTGCTTGTGTCACGTGTGTGTGTGTGTGCGTGTGTGTGTGTGTGTGTGTGTGTGTGTGTATATATCTTAGTTTAACCGGTTGGTGCTGTTGTTATCATTCATAGTAATGATCCACCCAGCGTACAGTAACCTGACTATCAGACCAGCTCTGAAGACACTGTGGTTGGATAGCTGTTTTGGATTGTGTGGTTGTGTGTTCAAGGATAGAAGTTACTGTATTTCATCATTCTACTGTCTTTCCCTTTTTCATACGCAAGGGGGCGGCACTCTACCATAAATCAGATTTCCCTTGTTGGCCTATTGAAACCATAAAGGAAGCTTACTTGTGACAGCCTTAAAGGGCTAAGGTTATGAACATCACATTGATGATTTTAACATGCTTAAGGTTTAGTTTATCCTGAAGTCCTTTTGTCTTAAATAATAACAAAATAAAAAGAAGATTTAATCCTTTGAGGGTCGAAATATGCTCAGTAATCTCACAGTAATGTGCCTATTAGATTTTCTGTGCACGTGGAAATTTTGTCATGATGATGGTGTTAAGAGGAAAGGTCTGACTGACCTGAACTGACTGACCTTTGTATTTTAGCAATAATTCTGGATGGCATAATATTGTAAATGAGTAAAGCAGCTCTTACAGATATCGTCAGATGAGCCACCTTTAAAGAGGCAGTCCAGTTTTTCACATATAGGTCATTTACTTGTCATGGAGAATTTTTGGCCCGCGAAAACAGATGTATAATATAGAAAGTTAATTCTTGCTTTTAGAAATAGTAATCTATTTGTGTTTTCCCCGCATTATGTTATAGTTATGAGTACATATATTTAAATGTGTTTGCTGTGTATACTGCATGTTGACAGTGAGGAGGATGCTGTGTACTCTGCAGCGCAGCCAGAAGCTCCATATATCCATCATGTAAATTATATTTTATAGTGTGTGTGTGTGTGTGTGTGTGTGTGTGTCTGTCCTGATTGGCTTAGAGCTCTCCAGTGGGGTCACTGTTGGGTATCCAGGTGTCTGAGTGTATTTCCACACCAAACTCAGGCTCCATACTGCTGGAGAGTCACTGGCTATAAATACACACTGTGCACACCAGCCTCTCCATTAGCTTTCCTGGAATAAACTGAAACACCTGCCCCCCAACCAACAAACACTCACACACACACACACACACACACACACACACAGTCTTGTAATTAACTAGCTACAGCTTTAAAAGAAAATCTTAAGTCAACAAACATACCAGCATGTCCTCACCCGAAAAATTGTCGTATTGGTTGTTGGCTTCTGCGTTTATAACGAGTAGTATGTAGCTGCAGTACCGGAGGCTGCAGTTTCAGGGCTGCAATCCTAGGATTGGGACTACATTTCTAGGACCCTTGTTTACTTTGATACTGCCAGCTAGCTGGCTAGCTTGTTAACGACACTGCCTCACCACAAAAACCACAAAAGAAAGCAATCAGTTGACCGGAGTCTATCGGAGCAGCATAGAAACAGCATAGAGAGAGGCTGTGTTACTGGTGAGTTGGTCATTTCTCATGTTAATTACAAGACTTAAATTATAATAAAAAGAACCCCCATCAATTCTGTTTAAAACATTCATGACTTGCTAACCCTCCCGTTTTTCACTTCCTTCTCCCGGCTTCCTCCCGGATCACAGCAGTATGTTTAATGTTACAGTAGTTGAGTGATGGAGGCCATACTGCTGGCAGACATGATTGTATTTCTGAAACAATTTTGTGAACAGTCCTATCATTTCTCTCTATTTCATCACTTATAAGTGTTTTCCAACATCGTTTCCAGCAGCTAACGCTGCCCGTTGCTAAATTAGCCACAAAGCTAATGCCGTGTTTATCAGTGGAGGAGCGCTAACGTCGTAATGAGCAGTTAAACTATAGAGTTTAACATATTCTCAAATATATCTTCAAGCCATTTGTTTGTAGTTAGTCGGTGTGTCAGAAATGATTAAACCAGAGCGGACTGTAAATAAACATGAGCTGAACATGCATCTAACACGGCTTCCTGCTAGAAAAAGTTCTTTAGCTCCTCTTTCAAATATGAAACATAAGTTATAGTTGCAAGTACTTGTTGTAGACAGTCATGTAGTATTAGATGCATTCAACAGCAGGTCACTGTATCAGAGACTGATGGTGGTTGGGAAATAGTTTCTTGTAGCTTTGGATAAAATTTAAGAGTGCTGGTAAAGACATAAATTAGATGAATATGCTACATTGAAAGTAGTTATTATGGCAGGTTATGTGTAAGGTAAAATACACATGCTTATTCTCTCTCACACTCTCTGTTTACAGATGGCTGAAAAAGTTACACCTTCTAGCATCAAATATTTATTGATCTGCAATTATTTACATGTTAAGTTGTTGAGACTGTAATCAATTTTATTGACATAATCCATTTAGGAAAAGGTATTATAGCCCACATACAAAACAGCTTTAAATATCGGCCTGTTCTAAGTGTAGGTTATACAGGAAAGGGATCTACTATCCTAATAATTTTCAAAATAAAAATATAGGCTCATATCTGCTCTTTTTCAGTTTAATATCGGCATCGGCCCCCAAAAACCCATATCGGTCGGGCTCTACTTATTTTAACCCAAACCGTGATCTTTTCCTAAATCTAACCAAGTAGTTTTGTTGCCTAAACCTAACTAAACTATGACTGTTTCACGTTAATCATGTGTTAAACATCATGCGACTTAGGTCATGTGACTTACTTAAGGTACTTAAGGGCTGGTACATCTGCTGCAGAACTGGTACTTGCCTTTTCCAACGGACATACAGTAGCAGGAAAAAAGTATGTGAATCCTTTGGAATTACCTGGATTTCTGCATAAATCTGATCTTCATCTAAGTCACATACAGCTGCAGTATTCATGCTTTTATTGAACACAGCTTGTAAACATTCACAGTGCAGGGTAGAAAAAGTATGTGAACCCCTAGGCTAATGACTTCTCCAAAACCTAATTGGACTCAGGAGTCAGCCAACCTTGAGTCCAATCAATGAGACGAGATTGGAGGTGTAGGTTACAGCTTCCCTGCCCTATAAAAACACACCAATTTTAATTTTGCTATTCTCATGAAGCATTGTGAACCATGCCTTGAACAAAAGAGCTTTCAGAAAAACTAAGATTTGTAGACTTGCATTAAGCTGGAAAGGGTTTCAAAAGTATCTCTAAAAGCCTTGATGTTCATCAGTATACAATAAAACAAATTGTCTAGAGATGGAAAGTTCAGCACTGTTGCTACCCTCCCTAGGAGTGGCTGTCCTGCAAAGATAACAGCACAAACACAGTGCAGAATTCTCAATGAGGTTAGGATGAATCCTAGACATTTTGGAGGACACCACTGACAAAACCACTGCTGTCCAAAAAAACACTGCTACACTGAAGTTTGCAAAAGAGCACCTGGATGTTCCAAAGCACTACTGGAAAAATATTCTGTGGACAAATAATCCACATTTGAGTTGTTTGGAAGGAAACACAACCCTATGTGCCTAGGAAAACAGGCAGCACACCAATATCAAAACCTCATCCCAACTGCAAAGTATGGTGGAGGGGGAGTAATGGTTTGGGGCAGCTTCACTGCCTCAGGGCCTGGAAGAGTTGATATTGTCGACGGAAGAATGAATTCCAAAGTTTATAAAGAAATTGTGCATCTGTCTGCCAATTGAAGCTCAATAGAAGATAGGTGATGCAACAGGACAATGACCCAAAGCACAGAACGGCTTCAGCAGAAGAAAATACACCTTCTGGAGTGGCCCAGTCAAAGTCCTGACCTCAACCCGATTGTGAAGCTGTGGCATAACCTCAAGAGAGCGATTCACACCAGACATCCCAAGAATATTGCTGAACTGAAACAGACTTGTATAGAGGAATGGTCCGCAATTCCTCCTGACCGTTGTTCAGGTCTGATCTCTAGCTACAGGAAACATTTTGTTTAAGTTATTGCTGCCAAAGGAGGGTCAACCAGTTATTAAATCCAAGAGTTCACATACTTTTTGCACCCTGCACTGTGAATGTTTACACAGTGTGTTCAATAAAAACATGAAAAGATATAAGCAGACTGTGTTTGCCTATTGTTGTGACCTAGATGAAGCTCAGATCACATTTTCTGAGCAATTCTGCGTAAATCTTTTTTAAAACTTTTTTCCTGCAACTGGATATGTTGTTTTGAGACAATTGACAATACAAATTTTGTCATTCGGAATCTGCCAAAGAGGAACTTCTGTCAAATAGCAATTTCTTCTTATCATCTTCAATGTTATGCTAATTGCAGCATCTGAACAACTCTCACAGAGCTAAAATGTGAAAATCAGTGATGATGGGAACACCTACTATAGTGAGTTTACATGTATGAGTGAAAGACTGCATTATTTTGTACTATGTGTATGAATGTGTTCCAAGTGTTTATGTGTTGGCATCCTGTGACCTTCTGCCATGTTCACCTTGGCAGAGGGTGTTGGGATGACAGGGCTGGCAATCACTAGTGCTGCACTAGAGGGTATAAAAATAATATACAGCACAGTTAATAAAAATCCCAGGACGCTGCCAAGGGTTCAGACCAACAACTTACGTAATCCCATCCAGTTGGAGAGCCAAGGGGAATGGAGGCAGGATTGTGGGGGGGGGGTCTCAGTTTGGACTTGGAGACTACTGGAAACAAATGTGTAACAAAAAGCCTGTGTTACAAACTAGGGATGTAAAGTCCAAAAAACATGGTTCTTTATCAGGCAGGGATAAAATATGCTATCGAGTTGCATTTTGGGAAAGTTGGGATTTATGCTTGAACCATCCTAGAGGCTAGAATTCACTACATCTCAGCCTCTGCTTTTTTGAAAGGATAAATATAATCATTGTTTCAATGGCATTTCAATGATGTGAAGCAGGTCCTACATGTTGAAATATGTACTGCTGCTGAAACAATGGTAACATGTAACCTGCATACATAGGACAAGTCATTGCAGCTGTTATAATATAATATTATTATGTAGAAATGCACCCCTGTTTAAACCCTGTTTGGTCAAAATGTATTGTACTGTCAGAATAAGTCCGAGCTACTGTAGCATTAGCTGGCTGCTCCTGGCTGCATCACTATAGGCTAATGTTAGTAAACAAATCGCTCACATTTGCTTTTTTGTAATGTAGAAAGTGATACAACTTTGCACTAGATTAGCAACCGCTTGACATAAGCCGGCGAGCTAATGTGACTTTCTCTGTGTTAGTCCAGCTTTAGTAATGCTCACTATGTTCTTGCTCGACATCATCTGAACCTGTTTGGTCTGATGGTTAATTTAATTGAAAAACTTACATATGATCCCTTTAAATCTTATGTTTTAATAAATGAACATAAATAAAAATGCAAAATAGACTTATTCATTTCCACATGTAGACTAAACCTATTACTGAGGGTGACACGTTCAGTCACATCGGACTTGTGTGTCAGCAACCTTTTTGGCTGCCTGGATTTAACATTACTGATCCAAAGTATCATATCCATTAAAGAGCAGGTGTTTCCCTTCCCAGCACTTCCACTGTGTCACAGTGAAAAGCCTTCCCAGCTGTTTGGTACATTTAGTCTCTTCCACACTATAAATCCCCTCTGTCACACCATGCAGGTGGTTAAGGCTAGAGAAATTGGTTATGCACATGCTATATTCAGCTGTTGATTATCAAGAGAAGATCTTACCTGCATACCTACTTGGTGAAAAGCAGAGGTTACATAATCTGGAGTTAGGCAGTCTTTCGTGAGACCTTAAGAGTCAGAGAAACAAGGTTAACCAGTCTCTGGAGCAGCAATACTTATTTTAGAGTGCAGAATATATTAGCAGGGTATATACAGGAATCCTGAAGTAAAATTCAATAACTTTTTAAGACCTTTTCAAGGCTTTTTCAACATATTTCAAGACTGCCGCGCCACTTTGAGCTGTAACCAATTAAATCAGCCAGACACCTTTTAAAAGGGATATTTTTGAGTTTTTAAAAGAAATGTAAATATATTTATAACATATTTATAGCCTATATGTCATCAGGTTGTAACGCCATCAAAAAATTGAGGCATTCACCAACTTTCTCAGTTGCCTGTAACAGCCTGTTTAGGCCTATTGTTTTCTATGTGAAGGACTGGTCAGATTTCCTGCCAAAAGCAACATAAACTTACATAAACTATGACGTGTATGTACGCAGTATTACAGCAAATCATGTGAAACACAGTGTAATTTTGTGTTTTTAGTTGGTTTAAACTAGAGAATGTGAGCTTGCAATGATGTGTGATAACTTTCATCGACCAATTGATCAATACAACAAAATTCAAATAGGGCAGGAGGGAAGAAAGATGAAGAGAATAAACTGAGTGATGAATAACGTAAGTAGTGTAGGCGGTGTAGCACAGATACAACCTGGAGGAGGAACTAGTCTAAATGACTGGATTAGTATAATATTTTAACATTAAGTTAAAAGTACATTGTTAACTTAATAGTAAACTGTAAGTTTGATATTAATATAGTCATTATGTTCAATATAATTTCATATAATAGTATATAACTTACCACTAGTGTAATATTAATTCAAATTACAGCTGCTTCAGTTTGGGGTTGTTTTTTATTCATTAACTTTGTGCAAGAAAAATGCTCTAGGCTACATGATAGTCTCCAACCTTGATTTTAGGCAGGCTACTAACTCGTCAATAATCTTTATGCAGAACACTGAGTTCAACATTTATAAAGTTTGTTGCAGCACATGAAACTCTTTTTTTTAAATCCGGCTCCATCCAGGCTGTGATTGATTTGTTCACAAAAAGTGACACTGACGAGAGCATCGGCTTTATGAGAAGTTGAATTTGTTTCAATAAAAAGCAGAGCTTCAGCTAAATAGCCGACTAACATTAGCCAAACCCACAAGCTCCTTGAATTTTCCCTGTTGTCTTCTGTCTTACCGATTCAGCTGCTGGCGGCGCATCTTGCTCTTGTTTTTGAGGAACAGGGCTGTTCAGGTGGCCACAGAGCGACCGGCCAACCGGGTTAATCCCGTTACTACTGATCACCACTCCGACTATGTTTTGGAGTTTATGGTCGGTTGTATTCGTAAATCATTTTCCGGTTCGCATGGATCTATTTTTTGGAGCGTTTAAGAGTGAAATAGGCGCTCGGTAGATCCCTGTGCCTAACGTTACAGAAACGAATCGGTCGCTCTCTGCCTGCCTAGTATTTTTGGCTATGCATTATAAATAAATGCGTTCACCTACACTTTTAGCAAACAAAGTTTTGGACAAACAGGATTTTCACATTGAAAAAAATATCTTCAACATTTAATACCTTGTTAAATGGCGATTAAGACTTTTTAATACTTTTTAATGGCCTTAATTTTCGCAAAATTGATTTACCTTTTAAGTCTTTTTAAGACCCCACGGACACCCTGTATTAAGAACATCTTGCATTGGCTGATTTTTGGGGGGTGACGTGCCAGAGACAATTTAGTTATTGCTAGAGGACTAAGCCAAGGAAAACCATTAGTCCTTGAATCTGATGAAAAATATATTGGAGGAACATCTTTAAGATACTGTCAGTAAGCGAGCAGGCAGGCATTAAATAAGGCATAGCATAGGGATGAACATATTTAACAGTAATTTGGTAACACAGAAACATAAAAAGTACAAAAACCACACATGGCTCACAACTGAAAGATAAGTGGAAACTCACCATCCTGTGTGTATTTTGTGCTTCAGTACTAAAACAAGTCTTCTAAATAAGCACAATTACATTGCTTCCTGATGGGAGCATACCCATTAATAGAGAGAGTAAGTGATTCTGCAGAAGGACTGTTGATATTTCAACTCAACTTCCAAACAAATACACCCCTCCCCTCAGAATCTCTGCCCCACCTAATTTCAACTCCTGGAGTTTTCTCCAGCATTGAAACGCCTGGACCCTTGCCTGGTCGTATTATTTTCTTCCCTGTTTATACTCTTCAGACCTTTTCCTCTATGGCTAAATCTGAGGCATCTCTCTTCCAGCATATTAGATCTCACCGTTGTGTATACAAGGTGCAGACGTATGAGAGGCCCACGCTGTGGGTGGGCACAGACAAAATTTATCAGTACCGCACAAGCGCGCGTAGGGGTAAACCCAATAGCGATGGCCTTAGAGGGCTGCGCCTGTACTCATATAATCTGGAGTCACAATACGTAACTATCGTACCATCAACATTTCAATTCACACATTAAACTCAAACAACCACTTACAACATTAAAGGTCAGCGGTAAGGGCCCTCCTAAACAGAGCAGCACACATTATCAGTGTGGTGGAGGATAGAAAAACTGTGATAGGGACCACCAGAAGCATCCCAGTTGGACTCTTTCATGTGGTTGGGATGGCAGAACATCCAGCAAGAGTCTTCAAGTGGTGTTTGGCGTCATCATGACATCATATGTGACAGGTGGGGGTAACATTGATGAAATGACAAGCTCTGGACAAGAGAATGAACACAGGGAAACACCAGGCCAAAACTGCTCACAGAACTGACCTGGAAAGGTTCAGAGGTCATTGACCATGAGTCAATGGAGAGCTGGAGAAAGATGATGGCATTCACATCCAATGCCAAAAGTCTATCCATGAACAGAGATAGGTAAGTAATCTCCAGATACCAGCAAAATAAATTCCTCTTAAACCCCTCAAATATCCTATTGCTCCAACTCATGGGTGCTAGATTAAAGGTACTTCAATTGTAGTGAAGAAGCCAAAGTTTCCAAAGGACCTAAATCTGTCAGGCTGGAGGTGTCAAATAATTGAATACCTTGAAAGCTGGCTCTGAAAAATCTGTAAGGATAACAGGAGATTAACCAGTTTCTACACGTCTTGGTAGCGAGACACAATGGCTAAGTGCAAGTTTCTTCTGCTGAGACAGTGCAGAGGAGGTTGAGCTGTCAGCCTCCGCCTGTGCCAAGCTCTGCATGGCTCCTCAGAGGCCTGCTGAAGAAACAGCAGCCAAGCATTCCTGGCTTGCATGATAATGGCTGATGAAACGCTCGGCCTTTATGCTGCTTAGGGACAGTGGTAAAAATACTTCCCATCCCATCATCACTCCCTCCTCAGTGCATGTTGCAATAAAACTTGCTCTTGACTGAAAGTGGAGCTCTCTCTGAAGTGAGCTGTTATGGGCCCATCACATGGTTCAGGAATCAGGGAGCAAGGTTGCACAAACAACTAGGTCAGTTGATGGAGCTAAATTTACTGTACAAATTGTTTGTTTCTATTTACAACCTGTGTAAAGCCACATTGTCTGAGTGAGCAAATACACATATTCACCACTGCGTGCAATCCAAACACGATTAGTCATACTGACAGTAAAAGAGGCCAATGCATTTTGGAGGCTTTAAAAAATGCTAAATCTAGTTTTTCCTGCTCATTTGCAGGTAACCCCTTGACCCCTTAAAAAATTATTTGTGTTTTCAGTTGCTTCCAAGCTGATGTTAAATTAAGTGGAAATTGTTCATTTGTCTATACAACATAAAAAAGATATAAATTCAGGTATGATTCGATAAACCAGGGGCTTGCAAAAGGTTCCTAGGTACGTATTGAATATACAATTGGTGTCAAGGGGTTAAGAACACTGACTTGTAGAGAGGTGGTGATCTAAAATGAAAACCATCTTGATGCTTGGTCTTCCTTGAGTTAAAAATGACCTGAATCCACTTCATTTTTTGTGTGAGGAAATATACATTTTTCAACATAAGATTACCGTTTTGGACACATGTATGGAAACAGTGTCTAAGCCTAAAGCTTCTGAGTGGGCATTACGCACGATATCAGTTGACTGACAGCTGTGGGCCGTGCACCTATAAAATGTGCTGCCAAGCTACTGTGGTGTGCTAAAGACTGGAGAATGTCTGGAAGTGTTAAAAATGCATTATTTCCCTTTTTTCAACTAGTTAACATAATTATCTACCACACGCAGTTTATAGTGTCTTTCCTGTTAGAGCATTCTATATCTGGGAGAACCCAAAGTGCTTTTCCACTCTGTGTAAGGGGATGCTAGCTAGCCAAGTTAGCTAACATTTATGATAGCTGTTAGACATGTTATGAAGGCACTTTAAAACAAAGCTGTATACCTTATGAAAGGACCAGGGATTAGCTAACCCAAATAAGACCAAAGTTCCTTTTATAAATTTAAATTTAAATTCATAAGCAATAAACTCAGGAGTTTTGTTGCTACAGCCTTACTTGGTCTGGTATATGGCCAGTTGTTTTTGGTGGCTAATGTTAGCTAACACCAGATATTGCTGTCTAACTGACATTACAGAGTGGTGGAAAGGAAGTCATGTCCATTCTTCATCTATGTTTACAATCTATTTATAATTTTGTCATCCTGATTGTACATACAGTAATTTTATAATGTCGGGCTATTCTAGGGTGACCAGATGTCCCCCTTTTCAAGGGACAGTCCCCGGTTTTGGTGGCCTGTCCCTCTCTGGAGCTGTCCCCGGAAATGTCCCCGTTTTAACCGGGTGTTAATCATAGACTGTGGTGTAAGGTGTTAACAGACCTGAAATCAGATTTTACATGGCTAGGAACTGATTGTCGTCCGCAGGAGCACGCGTAGCATGTAACGTTATCGCCCAGTTTCTTTACAGCTACTTTTATATGGATCAAACAGACATAACATATAAACATCACTTTATGTCACAAAGATATGTCTTAGTGAAACTTTAACGGTTCTTTTAGAATAATCACAATTGTGGCCAAACAAGTGTTTGCATT